ATTCAGCTGAAGGGATAAGGTTCAAGATATGCTCGGTTCATTATAGATGCTTTTTGTATGGATTTAGCTTTCTGATTGATAAAAGCTCCACAAATGACCTTGAAAAGTTGAAGAATGTAAAAGGACAGCCCTCCTTTACAGCTTGCTCTTTTGTCTCTCTCAAAAAAAAGATAAACCCGCAACATCTTAGTCCTGCTAATGCTGGGGTGAAAGGCAGAGCTTTGCGGGAGGGTCGGTGGGCTGCTCCTCGGTGACCTACCTGCTCTGTTTACAATGGACAAGCACTTGCTCCTGCTCAGAGACACTTGCACCTGAACCAAGAATAGAAAATTGTACCTCTGCAAAACCCACAAAGATGCACCTCTGCAGAGCTGAGGTTTCCACCTCCAGTTTACACCAACCCTTGATGTAAAACCTGAAGTCTGAGAAGTTAAAGTTGTCACCAGTGTGGCTGCAACTCTGAAACAGACTTTGAATAATCTTCTGTTTTAAAACTTAGTATTTATGGGTAAGACAAACAATTTTCTAGGAATTAAGTCAATCTTTTAAGAGATTTTTACTTAAATTATATCAATGTGATGATACAAAGTCCAATAATTTTCTCTCTTGAGAAGCTGCCAGAAAAGATCTGCAGTAATTACAGAGCACTCAGCTTCCCATTTTAACTTTCCTTGCTTCATTTTCTCATGACTAAAACCTGTAGGTCAGCGGGCAAGAAGGTGAATTGCTACAGTGATCTTTCTGCTAAACATAAGACTGTCCCTTACAACTGAGTTGCAAAGAAAAAATTCCAAATATCATTTTACAGAGACTTTCCTGAGAGCTAAAACCTACACAGTCTAAGTCTGGCTCTAAAGTAGAGTCCAAGCAAGGTACAAGACGGCTATTCCAGTTCCCCAGAGCCAAAAGCTACCCCTTGCTCTGTTCCAGGGGAACCTGCAGCCCAGTTATTCGATGGCTGACTGTTAATTTGTGTCATTACTGCTTCTTAAGATGAAAAAATAGGTTATCTCTTAGGAAAATTCTACCCAGTTAACATTTGTTATCAAAATTATCACCCCTGTTTCAGGAGGCTGCTGTCCCACGTGCATATCCACTGCAGGGAAGAATACACCAGACTAACCTGGGCTGGATTAGACAGCTGTGCAGAAGGGATAAGGATGCCTGAAATAATGCTAAATCCGCTTCACGTTATATAGGAAATGCCACAGGAAATAAAAGGTACAGAACAACACAAATACAAGATACCAAACGTTCCTACAGGTTGGGACAACGTGATTCTACACACCTCGGGACAAGCACAGATACAACTCTTAAGGGGTCAGAGATATTTATACAGTCAAATGAGGTCATCATCGTTTTTAAGTGTTTATTTCACCCTCCAACAGCCCTGTTGTACAACACAGCTCAGGGGCTGTTCTTAGTCCTCTTACAAAGCCCCAGGCCTCAGTCAACGAGGTGCACTTTTATCACGTTCCTGTAACTTCTCCCCAGTCATTTATTCATGTGATCGATTCCCGTGTCACTCAAATCATTTGTGCAGGAAAAAAACCCGCTTCCTCCTCTACCAAACCAAACCAGACAGACTAGCTGGAGTTGCAAATAAGAAGGTCACCGATGCTTTGAACACAACCGGTACCGGGAGTAAATAAGGAGGAAAAACGCAGGAGAAACCACCCACAAAGCTTTGTGAGTCCAGCCCTTCTCCCTCCACCCCTTGCCGTGAGGCTGCAGCCGCCGTGCCCGCCGGAGCCGCTGGTACGGAGGAGCGACCGTTAACCTCCCCGGCTCGATTCAATGTGACAGTGACACTTCACAGCACATTGCATCCAATCTCATTTGAAGCTGACAAAGATTGTTTCTGTTTTATATCTATTGGTTTATTAATGGCCTACAGCCTCTTAAGCAGATGCATATTCATTAGATAGCCAGCTGTTAGGAGGTTCCCAGATGTCGAAAGTAGCTCTGTCTTGGAATGCATTCTTTTTTTTTTTTCCCCTTATTGTGAAACAAAGTAATTGTAGCTCTATTAAAGAACCAGTTAATTACTGAAGTGGTACCTTATGGCATGATATTTAAAAGAAAAAAATCTGCAAATTTCTGAGGAGTGAAGACATTTTTCACTATGCTGCACACACGCAGACGCTGCATAGAGACCTGGATTACCCCACATAAAGAACCCCTAGATGCAGACATCCAGGGATATACTGAGTTCTGCAAAGGCACCTTTCTTTATTTTCCATGTTCTGCAGAACTTCTCTCTTACATCTCATCCTCTCTTCTCTGAATAGTGGACAAAGAGGTGCATAAAAAATGAAAATGAGACACATCTCAATTTTAAAGGTCATTATACACAGAGAAGCAAAGTCCCACAGCATCCCAGCGAGATAAAACTGCAACCAGATCATTGAACAAGCTGTACAAATTGACTTACAAATTCCACAGACCATCCTTTTCAGTCTCACAACATTAACCAGGCTCACCTGGTTGTCTTTGCAACTTACCTTTTTTTTCCTGTCTTCCTTCTTTCCTCAAAGCGCCAATAGCAACTCCCCTGAGCAGGACAGCTTGAACAACCCCCCTCCTGCCACCACCTCCAGGAAGCCCTTCTCCCACCAAAGTCTTTAAAATGTTCAAGTCAGCTTCGAATCCAAGCGGTTTCATCCCAATTCTATGTTTCTGGCTGACGGGAACAAACTGCTCAGGCCTTTGGTCCATCTCAGGCTGCAGCGGCAGCTTCTGAGGAGCCGGTGGCACAGCACAGCTTTGGCCCCACAAAGAAGAGGGGAACTACTGTTCCCGTGCTAGTGTTGCCCCCAGGAGGGAAAAACTGGAAATATAGATATATATATATATTTATATACATAATTTAGTTTCCAGTTCTCTCATTCACACTTTTGAGTTTTTGCCAGTCAAATCTGTCAGCCAGTACCTGGAGCCATCCAATAAGCAGTTTTTTACAGTACTAAAAACAACAACAAAAATTTTCCTTTACAGTCAAGTATTTCACTTAAAGAGTTTCAATGTTCGTGCAGATTCATGAGTTTGCCTGAAACAACTCTGAATTTTAGTCAAGGATGGTCTGGAATAAAACTTGGGGGGGAGAAAAGAAAATAATTTTTAAGAATCACATCTCTGTTAAAAGCTTTAATCAGAACCAAGTGGTGGTACTATAAAATGTCATATGCTATGAAAGTGTTTACAGTCAGGCACAGAGGAACGTGGAGGCAATTTTGTAGAGCGACTCCTGGAGCAAAGGCCTCTGAGAATAAAAGTGTCTTTAGATATTTGTTTTCCTGTTATAGTTGGTATCACCTTGAGTATACAATGCCTGCCTGCATTATGTAAACACTTCATTGATAAATCCCTCCCCCACCTCCCTTAAGCTGTGTCAGACTGTTCTTAGCTGACAAATATAGCTGAAACAGATGCTGCTATAAATACCCTTGTTTAGCTGTTTTGAATATAATTTCTTTTGTAGAACATGGTGGATGCTCTACTTAGCACTGAACTTGCACCTGTGCTGGCATTTATTGCTCCTTTGCACACACCAAGATACAATTTTTGAACGATTCTACTAAAAAACACATGCAGAGTTGGATTCTGACGTCCTTTTCTCCTCTTCTTAAGTAGAGAAATCCTTTACAAATGATTTCACTAATTTTAACCAATATCTATCAAGTTTACAAGCTACAGAATCCAGAGGTGCCAACACACAGAGCCAGCCAATCCTGGGCTGGACCTGGCTTTGAAAAAATGAAGGAAGGAGTTGTGCTACCTAACACAGCCGCATGGGTTAGGTTATACTGGAGTTCTGTCAGGTGGCAGATCTGTCACCACACAACGGGCTCTCATCACGGCAGGGTTCTGGCCCACATTCTGAAGGAATCTTCATGAGTTTTCTGTTGTTTATTGTGGTTCAAAGGTTTTCATCTACTTGCCAGTCTGGCTGAAAGAAATTCTTTTCACACTCCTACAACCTTCTTCATAAGTAGAATATTGATCCCTAAGATGAAAAATGCGTGATAGGAGCAGTAAATCAGTTCAGTGCAGCTGCTCCATAAGCCCACGTACCCTTGATGAAGATACAATGGACATAAAGATCCACTCTAAACTGATCAAACATCCTCCGCTGGAGCTATTCTAACTCCTGACAAACACTCATTATAATTAATCTCTTGATTAGAAGCCAAATCACTGACTCCCCTCTGAAGGGATGTGAATAACCTGAACAAGGACGTGATCTTTCTGCTCAAAGCCAACTGTTTAACCAGCTGAACTTACCCTAAAAGGACAGCGTTAGGAATAGGCTCACCCTACTCCTCAGGAAACTTCTGAAGACTACGGAGAAGCCCCGCACCCCTTCAGCTCGACGACGAGAGCAACACCAACTACAGGTTTAGTTCTCCTTGCCACCCATCTACCGCCCCAGGAACCAGCTTTCTTCCCACCACAGTTCTGCATATATCGAACCAGTGTGAGTCTTTGTATGTGTTAGGACTAGAGGTTTTGAAGATGATTATTCCAAATAAGTTTAAAGGTTTCAGAACAGGAACCAGAGCGATCTCTCCTACTCAGCCGTTAAAGCCTGCCTTGATTACTTTGATGTAACAACACTTGAAAGCTCCTATTCTTTGAAACTAATTTAAACACATTGAATTGTTGAAAGATTAAAAACCGCAGTCAGCTAATTACACTCACTCTCATCTCTTATTCAGCAAATGAATCACTTTTCATTACCACTTAGCTGAAGTACATGAATTTCTGCCTAATTAGAAATGTTGTAGATGGAGCATTAGCAAGGCTGGAGCGGGTCAGGATATCTTGCCTGCTTCATTTTTAATTCCTAACAGTAGAGCCAGATAGGAAAGGCTTCAGATAAGAAGTCATTAAACAATTTTAAATTATTTATAAAAATTACTTTGCCCAAATTATAATTATTTTTTTTCCCAAATGCTCTCATAAACGTCAAATGGAATGAAAGGAAAAGCAGCCCAACATTGATTTTAATGAACATTTTAATGTTATGTATAACAGAACATTATGAATACAATGGAAACAAAGTTTTATCAATTTAATAATAAAAAAGAAATCCAACATAAGAAAAGGGAGGCAATATATTTCATACCTATAGTATAGTGCTTTTTCTTAACAATATTCCCAGCTTGTAAATATAACAATGTCTTCGTATTCCAGATTCTAGAATCATGATTCATGTGAACTTAAATGCAGAATTACAGAAGGAAAAAACAAAACTCCCTAAAACCTTATTTCATTCTTTTGTTTTCAGTAAATCAGTAAAGTCTTTGACTGCTACAGGTTTCCTTTATTAATATATATATATATTTTACTCCTCTATTGGATTCCACAGCTGCTAATGCCATATGTACACAAGAGAATCACCGAATATGGTATAAAAGCTAAGATCCAATGCTGTTGGATTAAGGTAGGGTTACAGAGTTACATAACTTAAGTGTAATTCACCTTGTTACTTTTTTTGTAATGATGCCAAAAAATAAATATTTTTGCCTTTTGGCTGCTGCCAATGTCCTAAACCAGTGGCTCCATAGGGACATTGGTGGTACAAAGGATGCTCAGTGCCACTGTAAAAGAACTGCAAAAAAGTCCATTTTTTTTGAGTTTTCTGAAAGGAAACCTTCCAGCAGTCTTGGATAAAGCTTCTTCAGCCTCGTGCCGGATATCAGTTATAACAATAGAAGCACGTTAAGTCCCCAAAAATCGGTTTATCACCAAACTGCCAAGAGAGGATTTTTATGATAAAAATTTGGGTAATGTAGCAGTGTGGCTGGAACATTAGCAAAAGTATATATACATTCCAGGTCCCTTTGAATTAGCCATAATCACATAGGTAAGCCATTTTTGGACAAAAATATATATTCTTATAAAAAACTGATCATAGTACTTGAGTGACTTCAATTGTGAACTCAGTGGTAGTAAAAGGAATGATCCGATTATGACAAAGCGATCAGGGAGAGGGGGAAAAGAAAGTCAAGCTCTTCAAGAAAAAAGAAAAGTATAAAATTAGATTCAAACATTTTCACCCAACCCCCATTCCAGTCTTCCATCAAGTTTCAAAGTTAAAATTGGTTCTTCTAGATAGGAAAGGTTTTCTGATGGTCTCAGTACAAATTATTTTGCAAAATCATCTAACACACTCCTTAGAAGAAACCTTTCACCTCTCTAGAATTTGAACTAGTTATTTCAACACTTAGAAAATAGCTTTTGGTTCTTCATGTAGACACTTTAACTGATAAAGAAAAAAAAAAAGTATTGATCAGTGTTTTCCATCCCTTCCCCAGCTATATTTGTGCAGCTAAAAATCCTTCATTCAGTCTGCCCATTTATTTCAGGTTTATTTCATTTTATTTACTTATTTTACAATCTTTTATTTGCTAAAATTGGCAAAATTTGCAAAGGCATCTTGCTTGGGTTGTACAGTCCCAGGAGCCAGAGAGGTCATAGCGAGATTGTGTACCCCCATCCCTAGTGCGCCCGTCAAACCCACTCCCGTAGCCGGAACCCCCATGTTCATGTTCATTCCCATCATTCCCTGGTTCATCATAGGCGTGGGGCCCAGGGACGTCATTCCCATCGTACCTGACATCACCCCGGGCATTCCCATCCCCACGGGAATGGGCCCTCCCATCATGGGGCTTGTCTGGGGCCGAACGGGCATCATGTTGGGCTGAGGATTGAGGTTCACAGCTGCAAAGTTTTGAGTCATGACATTCACGGGTTGTTGCATATCTGCAAAGAAAACAAAGCGGGACAAAAAATTCAATTATCGACACCCAGTGCTGAAGGTGCTCATGTATTTTAAGAAACTTGTGTGGTAACTGCTGTGAATAAAGATATGGTGGACAAAAACGCGGCTGTTTCACTCATTTCCATAGCTTGCGTGTGAAGACTCAGGAAAATTTATATAGGTTTTAAATAGCATTTCATAGCTATACACGCTGCAATGCATATTCTAGAGAAGTTCTAGAGATGAGGAAGCCTGAAACTGAGATATAGCAAAGGTGCAAACTCTACAGTAAAAACATGCACAGATACCAGCCTCCTAGCACGTCACTCTCCATTTATAAAATATCACTTGTGCCACAACCATTGCAGTAGTTTAAGAAACAATTATAACTAAATGTAGGAAAACAGTAATTGACAGAACACTCCCATCTCAAGGACAACCTACTCAACACATACAGGGCTCTTTGGGCATGCAGAACAGTGCAATAATCACTTACTTTGTTGCTGCATCATGAAATTAAGTGATGGCTGCTGGGGTTTGGAAGGCTGCATCCCAGGTACTAAATTGTCCAAACTGATATTTACACTGGGATCTGACCAAGTTGAGGGCAGAGTTTTGCTTGAATTCTTCTGGACCATCTCTGTGCTTGCATTATAAAGAGGGGTAGGCTTCGGCATCATAGTGTCCATGCTTTGCAGAGGCTGAAAACCAGAGAAGTTTGTTACTTACCAGTAAGAATCAGGACTAAACATTGGTTTTGTATTGGTTTTTCCACAGAAGACAATACAAAGCCAGTGAAATTTTTAGCCATGAGTTTTAGCTCTTCCAAAGCAGTGTTACCACGTGCTGTTACACCATTAAAATGGGTTAAAAGAGTATTTTTAGGCTAGAATCAAGCTTCCATATCAATATATAGAATAACAATGATCACCTCCAGTCAAGTTTTGAACCCAAACATAGTGATTCGCTCCTCCCAACCAAGTCAACCTGTTATGGTTTCCAAAAACTCGCCAATGAAGCAGGCGCTTCTGTGTTTTGAAGAACAGACCAATCCTCATCTTCATCTTCTTGAGGCTGGAAGCTTATAATGTTCTGTGGAGGATGGCTTTAAGGTTTAAAATATCATCAACCCAACAAAGCAGCAACACTTCATAGAACAATGAAGACCATCTCAGAGAAGACTGGCTTATAAAAGGGGGCTTTTCAAGAACATCCAACATCTTTCCTTTCTAGGAGGCTACTCAAACATTTTTTGACAAAATTTTCACACAAAATGCTGCTAACAACATCTGAGCGACTAGGTACGCACTCTGGGAGTGGAATGGATGAATTTTCAATGTTGTGATTAAGAAGAAGACAAAAGATTAGTCGAGGAAGGTCACTAGCAAACTGTACACACAGCAGCATACCTGTGACCTTGACATGGGTAAACTGATGCCCACAGCGTTGGAGCTCATCATAGAGAAATTCATACTTTGTGAAGCCGTCATGGTTGTCTGAGAAGGGCCCATTAAATCAAAGAGATCAGTAGAATTTGAAGCAGTCGGAGGCTGGCCAGAAGTTGACTGTGAGCTACTGAAGAGGTCTATAGCTGGCTGCTGTGCCGTGGTGCTGAAGAGCTCTCCAGGTGAAGCACTGGGACAAGGAGAAGCTTGGTTGAAGGCACTCCAGTCACCAAAGTCTCCATTTCCACTTGTTGCTGTACCTGAAGGAAAGGCAACAGTGGGGGAGGAAGTAAGACAGAGAGAAGAAAGGCAGAAGACTTAGAGAAAAGCTCTGAGCAAATGCCATATTCCATGAACTGAAACAAATGAAAGCTGATCTGTGTCCGTCCAGATTAACATCTGCAGGTAGAACCTCCATCTGGACATCATTCTCTCTCATGAATATTCCAACAATTTTAACAAGGTAGCAAAGGAAATATGAAACACCCATGCACAAAGTAGAAGCATGTTTGATAACATGTCACCTGTGGATGCAAGACAAGTAGGGACAGGTTTTCTTTAGCTGAAATATGACCGAAAGATAACTTAGTGGTAGTTTAGAGTCTCTATTCAAAACAACACCTAGAACTTTGACTTTTTATCTCATCACTCTGGTATTCGTCGGGAGAACAGTTGACAGGAATAAGCCATTTGATAAAGCAAAATATAAACCAAAGACAACTCTTCAAAATTTGGTTATATACAGTTAGTAGCTCTTTTTATAAAACAATGCTGAGTGGAACGAAAACCAGAACATTGAAAGCAGGTTGACAGTGGGAGCTCTTATTTGAGGCAGTAAGGAATAATTTCTTCCCATCCCATGAAGTGCTCATGTAAAAGGCATTATGTTTTCTAAACCTGATTCCTGAACTATATGTCTTGGCTTGAAACAGAAATTCAGTCCTGGATCTAGCAATTCTCTCAGCGGAAGCTCTGGTGAACCCTTAGCTCAGCACTTAAACTTTGTTTCACTTCAGTATACCGGGGTTTCTGCAGACAAGCGTTTAAATCAAAACACAGCAACTTACAGCCCGTTTTGTTTTACTGCAAAGCACCTGGCAGTATAACCTGTGTGTAGACAACTGCAAGGGTACCTGTTTCAGGATCACAGATGTCCAGAGACACAAACCAGTGAACTGAGAATATGTCATAACCTTTGAGTCAAATGGGAGGAGATGTTGCCTCCTTTGAAAACACATGTTTTTCTATTAACAAGAAACAGGCTACTTCACAGGAATGAGAGGGAAAGAAAAGCTTACGAAAACATCTACAGGAGAGGCTAAAAATAAAGCAATGCCATTCAAACAGCTCTTGCTGCTACACAGCGAATCTTGTTCCAAGTCTGGGCCGTTGTACAGGTCAGCTTTTTGATTATGCCACTTTGGGTACTTCAGCTAAATTTAAGCAATGCCACTGACATATGAAATGAACTTTGACTTCTAATGAACAGTTAAATCATCCCTTGCATTTCTTTAGATGAGCAAATGAAGACTAAACCACGCAAAGCTGGGTACCTTAATCCAGTGCTAGTTCCCACTTCCTAACCTATACAAAGGCTCATTCTGTAACGCCCATCCACAGCAATTTTTCTACCCACTCAAAGGTAACTGCAGCAGCCTTTTATACTCCATTTACATAATTATCAGCATACACCTTCAACCTTTCGTCATCTTTATCAATATATTAGAATTTAAAGAATTGTAGGAGAGTAAATCTGTTCATAAAATTCAAGTATTGCCAACAACTGCAGCGTATGAAGTGGACTAATATTCACTAGCTTAGGGCCTCACTAGAACATTTGCTTTGATCTCCCTCACAAAGAGGGGGGCTATATTAGAATGTTTCAATTAGTATTACATATTAAAAATTAAAACCTACTTTAAATATTCCTGATAGATAAGTAAATGCTGAGTGTGCTGCTTCTGTGTTCAGACCTGTGCACTGAGTACCAATAATGGAAGTGGGGGTAAAAGGGATAAGGTTTTGCCCCTTCAGTAGAACTTCAAAGATGATTAATCAAGAAAGAAAAGATTCCTAGAGGGGCTTATGCTGTTCAGGAATGATTAATCATTTCACAGGACTCCTTGTCCCTTGCATAATGGTGATTGGAATAGATTAATCATGTTAATGCAGATAAAGGATTGTATCAATTTCTACTGTATTAACAGACAAATTATTTGCATAGTAGGCGGCTTTGTGTTTGCAAAACAACTCGGTTTTGACTAAGAATGTCTCTAAAAAAACTAGAGCAGTTCTTTCCTACCAAGCAAATTAAAGGTGTATTAACCAATCCACACCCAGCACAATTTTCCTAAGACAGCAAAACAAAGGAAGAAATACAAATATGCTGACTAAAAGCTGGCTCACAGGTAGGTTTGCAGATCAACCTCTGTTACTGTTTTCTTATTCTGGACTAAACCCTACGCTCTTGCTGAGAACCCCCAGTCACAAACACCGCTGCTGCCCAGACTGCCCTCACCCAGGCCAGCCAGCGCCCTCGCCCCGTGTCTGTCTGCAGCCCTGTCCTGCTGGGGAGCGCTGCGGGCTTCACAAGCCACGCTTCAGTTCAGCGCATTTCAAAATCAGACTTAAAGCTACGTTCATATTACACTATTAGATGAACAAGGATGTATTTGTAATTTCTACTAACATTTTTCTGAAATAAAGCTCACAAAAAGTTTCAAATGTGTTGTGCCAGCCAGCAGACACCTTCCTTTCTAAGTATAGCACTTGAAGTGCCGTTACATAAACGCAGTTTGCCCTGGAAAGGGAAGTGACTTTCAACAGTGCCGTGTGGCATCACTTCCCCTCTTTCTGCCCTTAAACAGCGTTTCAATCTGTAAATTAATCCTACCTTGTGATGATGGGAAACTTGCTGAAGCAGCAGCTGAACTAAAATCAGCAAATCCTCCAAACAGGTCACTTGATCCACCTAGAAACAGAATGAAACGCTGTTACAGGATTGTGCAAAGATCCACTGCAACAACTGCATGCGCACTTATCGAGAAAAGCTGTTCTGTATTTGGCAAGATGGATTTATTAATTCCGCCCCTTAAGTCGACATTGTTTTCTCCTGTTTGTCACCATATTACACTTATACAAGCCTGAGCAACAATAAACTGGATTATTTCCAGCTGCCTTGCAGGTCTTGCAGTTTGGTTTTCCTAGGGAAGAACTCCAACATACAAGTTTTTGCTATCTCTAAAGATAATTTTTGAGAGATTAAAAAAGTTAGTGAGTTTTTAACTAGTGAGGAACACTACTAGTTTGGCAGTTTGTAAAATTAAAACTTTGGAAGCATAAAAGCCAAATATTCTTATTGTATAAAAGTTATTATGCTTACTATGAAAAATTACATGTTGCCTTATATTTAGTTTTTGTGTTACTTAAAGGATGAATGATTCTGCAATGATCTTGAATTGGGATTTCAAGGACAGAGCTTGCATTTGTGTTCTTTTTTTTTCTTATAAGTTTGCTTACTTCCTACAGCAGGAACATTAAGTTTCCAACCAGACATTTGTATACAGCATATGAATTATTAACTTCTGAATACAGCATAGTAACAATTTTTCACTAACAAGAAATAAAGCCAGGGTATAAAAACCAAACAAAGATTTAAGAACTGCATTGGAAAGCTGCTTTTTTAAAATAAAAATGCAGTTTACAAAAAAAATCATCCAATTATTGTTGTTACTGCTTTTAAGTAGGCATTCTGCTGACCTGAGGAAGTTAAGAAGTTGACCTTATTTGTTTGTCCTCGAAGATTTCACCTCCAAGCAGCCCCACCCTTAGAAGTTGCAGCAGTTCAATTATTTTGCTTTTAGTGTTGTGCGTACATTATATAGGTTACATCACAGCTGCTTAGCCTGCAGTGCTTAGAAACTAGCCAGGTGGGACTGGAACATCTGTGCTGCACTCAAACACCACCAGGGACAGCTTCCAACATCTGGTGCCATTTCTGAATTGTCTTATCGCTGCAAGACATTCTGCCCCATCTGCTGCTCTCAACTGGGTTAATTAAACTAGAACCATCTCCTTTTTAATAAATGGCTAGCAGTAATAAAAGGAACCATTCACTTTCTAATACATGTGTACTTGTATTTCTTTTTAATGTTATTTTACTGTAGACACTGCCAGGAAGGCGACTGTTCTTCAAAGGGGAAATGTCTTTTCCTGCCGAGCGTGAAGCGCACGATATAAAACACGAGCAGGGAATGCAAGGATGGGCTCCTTGACTTTTCAGAAATATTGCTCTACTGAAACCCTTCTACCACCTTTTCAAGAGGGAGAAGGTTTCACACAAAGCTAAGAAATTTCTTTAACACAAATGCTGCAATGATCAAATAAGCATCTTACATGTGTTTATACACAAGTTTGATACTGACTGCAACCTGAGAATGAAAAAGGGTAAGACGAGCCAGGGAAATATCAAGCTGAAAAGCTGTTCTGATCGTGTTTACTCTGCCTACTGCTATCAACATTTTCAAATCATTTTTTTCATCACAAGAGTCCTTACAGAGTTCAGAACAGGTTAATGGTTTGAGGGTTTATATCAGAACGAGCAACACAGATGACACACTCTCAACCACATCCTCAAAAAATCAATTCTCTCATGCAACGCCTATTACCCCTGGGCTGTTTGACAAAGTATCTAGGGATTAATTTAATTTTAAAAACAGAACTAGGTTCAAACTCAAAATAACCCCATAACATTTTCAGTCAAGTCAACTCTTCCTCCACCTCTATTGCTTGTTTTCAGACGAAACTGAGTTCCAAGGAAAGGTGGCAGAGCTCAAGCTGAATGCAGTTACTCTCAAAAGAAAGGCATCACCAGCGAAGATTAAAGACCCTCATCTCCAGTAACACCAAAAAAAAATTACTTCCTGCAGCTCTAGCCACAGATTCTACATCTTCTCAAACAGATTGCTCCTTTATGGCAACCAACTGTCCCCAGCACGTACAAATTGTGTTGCTTTAGTAATGGGTAACCCCCAAGCCTCACCAACCTTCTTCCACACCTCTGCACCTGAAAATACACAGATAAGCCAATTCTTAGTTCCCTGAATTCACATGACTTCCCCGCCAGTTTCTTCACAGGACAGATCAAAGGCTGCCTTTGACCCTTTCCCTGTGTCCTGCCTGACACTGGGAATGTTCCCACACCCTGTGCTGTAAGGAACAGTGGTCATCACAAGTGACCTGCACGGGAAGGACAGCGCTAATCTTCTCAACATGAGCCAGCCTCAGAGATTCCCATGTGAGATCTGTCACGACAAATGAACCCTTTCCATCTGCCTTCCCAGGTCAGCAAAGAGGTTATTTAGCAGCACCAGCTGGTAACATGCCTCTCCTCAATATCATTTCTAAATGCTGCTTTGGAAAGAGAAGAAAAAAGGCAAAAAAAATAAAAAAGGTTTACTACAGCAAAGAGCCAAACTGAGGAAAGATTCAAATACACTGTAATACGAAGTTTGAAATATGGGAAGGCTCAATTTGAAGTGGAAACATCTATTCTCAATGTGATTTTATTTTATACATAAAAAGATACACAGACATATAGAAGTAACACCAAAAAAGGCTCTAATCTCTTTTCCCATAAGGATTAGAGAGGAGAAGTTTCAGTATTCATTTGGGGTAGTGGTTCTGATCCACGATATCAAAATCCCACAGAATTGTGGTAACTCCAATGTACGATGAACCCCTTTGTACATCAAGTTAATAAAATAATAAAAGCCTTTGTGTATAAAAGAATCAATGCATGAAACAAATAATGTGAATACGATCTCATACGTAAGAGAAGTTGCATATTTACAATGAAGTTACACAGAAGGTTATTACCTATGAAAATGCACGTGCTTGTATTTTATTTGCTACTCAAAGTGATCAGTAAACAAAAATTCTGCCCACAGTAAACTCTCCCAACTGTGCCATTAGACCACAAGTGCATGGAAAATCCTTCTCGTAATTCCATGCTAGCCACAATCAAAACTGTTGTTACTAAGAACCTGTAAGCACAATGACAAACGTTTAAAGTTTTAGGTTTTAAAAAGAAAACCACTAAACCCCTGAACTCCTCTATCAATCCTATTCACAAAGTACTGAAATTTAACATGCTCCCAAAAAGAAGCTGTGGACTGAATGTAAGGGTAAGTCCACATGAAGGTTAATGGACTTAAAATTGAACTGCACATTTAAAGAGCGAAGGGATGTGTGTTACAATGAATAATTTTACTTTTAGGCAGCAATTTCTTTTTAATATTGGAGTCAGAATCAACCAAGTGCCAAGATAAAATGAGATTAGGAAGCAAGTTTGCCACATACTTTAGATGAAAGCTTATATGAAGATCATTGAGCTGCCTAGCCTTTGAACTGCACCACGAGAAATGCTTGAATGTGAACGGATTGCACTCACTTTTGGAGTTAATTATAAATAACTGCATTACAGAGTTTCTGACAGACTGATCTGGCAGTTAATCTTTGTGTTGCTAACATTTATTAGCCCCATGCAATAGCCCATCCAGTTCCTTGCTGTAGGTTCTAGAGTACTCAGGAATGTAGAGCTGCCGCTTCTCAATGTATCTACTGCTCTATCTACGTAACGTCAAACAAGCTTATCCTCGGAATTAGTTCAAAATATGCATTAACAAAAATAAAAGCAAAGTGTGCCTACCTGTTGAGACAGGCTGGCTAGCTCCATCAAACAGATCAACCAGGTCATTTGATGACTTGCTGGCAGAGGGTACAGAAGCCTGAAGAAGAAATTACACAACAGATCTCATCTCTGATCTTAAATGACTTTGAGAAGTCTTCCTTTTCTTTGGAGTTTTTTTTGTTTTGTTTTCTTTTGCTTTGGAGAGATGGCAGATTTGTCTCTGAAGCCATCAATCACTGGAACGTGGCTAAATTTTAAGTCCCTGGGCAAATACTGCAAGGCTCAGGTTTTTCTACTGTAACTGAAGAACCTGGTAATTTTTCAGTAAGTATGCAGGTTCAGAGAATCCTTCCCACTTCAGGCCAAGATTTTATCTTTGCTTTCCTGAAGAGAGCAAAATATGGTAATGACTATATTTTAAAAGTTCTACACCTTGAAACAATCACACAATTAATTATAACAAAACCAGTCCACAGCTTTTGAAAGCCTCAACTAAACATTTTTGATAAAATACTTCCCTTGAAAAATGCGTAACAGAAATTGTCTTAAGAGTTGAGAAGAAAAGAGTTTCCAATATCACGTTTGATTGTGCTCTCCCGCAGTCTCACCTTTGCTGTAGGTTGTGCATTATGAGCAGCAACATTCTGTTCTGGACTTGCTTTATCCCCTGTATAATGTGCTGCTGCTCCCAAGTCGATGGTTTTTGAAGGATTTGCTGTGCGTTTGTGTCTGGTGGTTGTAATTTCTGTAGCTTGTGTAATATGAATGTGTTTCGTTCTCACAGTCTCTTCTTCATCTTTAAATTCAGCTTTGGGAGATTTACCTCTTCTTGATTTTTCCTCATCACTGTCACTAGAAAAACAAAGTGACAGAATACCATTCATGATGGACTTTCCTCAGTTACTTAAGTGGATATTTGGCTTAAGCCACAAGAGTTTTGGCTACTGTAGTTGTGCACCAACAGTTCATAATAAAAATAATGCTTCTACATTTGAAAAAGTAAACGCTTTACCCTTACAGAACACACCTACGTAACACAGCATTGCACATATCATACAGAAGTGACTTGCTTTTCGCAAGTTATTTTGTTATATATTAACTGCAAGTCCATAGCAGAGGATAATAGGAAATCAGTGTTTAAATCCAGTACATTTAATTACCTTCTGACAGGAACTCCCCCACATATTACGTAACACTTCAGCAACAAAAAGTTAAGCTGGCAGGTCTGCTCAGTACTTACACCAAAAGACACAAAGCAATGAATCAAATACAGGTACTGTCTTTCAGGTTTCAACTCACTTCCTTTTTCAGAGATACAGGCTTTTATATTCTTTAAAATGTTTGGAGAAGAAAATGTTTACAGAATTATGCAACGCAGTGGTACTATTCATTTTCTATCAGAGAACATACGTTTATTCTTAAAATGTAAAATAGCAGAAATGTCACCATTTTACGCAAAAACTTTTTAGACGTCACTGCATAATGTTGTTTAATCTGTAACATTTTCTACCTTTATATTTTAAGTCTTTCATAAACAAGGCAATTGTCCCCCACCAACAGTCACGTTGCCTGGTACCATCAAAATAAGATCTGTACATGGCAGTGAAAATTGCTGTAGAGAAAGCTTAAATATATTGGAACATATTTTGAAATAGTAATTCCCTTAGCAACACAGCTGAAAGTGGAAGGTTTTTATATTTTAATAATGCATTAGAATACTAAAACTGCAAAATTTAGGAAAGGCTCTCCCTTTGTCAGTGGGAATATGACAGCAACTGCAATATACTCTGGAGGGTAGCCTTTGTTCTCTGTTAACAATAGCGGGCTTTTGGAACACACTGCATGTGTCGTTCCCTCCATGTGTATTACCTACTTGCTGCTGGGGATGCCTCAGTTTATTAACATCTGCAGATATAAATGCACACTCCCATTCTATGTTTTATTTTATTTTTTCAAAGAAAAATACCAAAGCTGCTGGCCAACCAAGTGACTACCAGCATTTGTCTGAGCCAGCCTTACAGAGACAAGCGAGCTCCCGTGGCACCACCCAACCCGTCCCTTCCGTGCTGACATGAAACAAGAGGGCTACTCTTCCCGTTCCGGATTTCTGCAGCCAGCCTCCCTCGGGGCACACGTACATCGGAGGGGCTCACTAACCACATTCTCACCTGTGAGATCAGGATTTTAATGTAAGCCTGCGGAGAAGACCGAGTTTCACTTTAGCAGTGCACACCTGGTACATCCATCCTGAAAACCTCGCAGGAGTGTGGATGACGTTGTCTTTCAGACACATGTTGAAGGTATCCGAGACCAGGACAATCACAATTAAGGCTTGGTTTCCTAAGATCTGCCACAATGTGTTCCTTGTCATCACCACAACTATTTTGTGGGCTGAGGAAGGGACTGACAAACATCCAAGTCTGATCAATGGAACTACTGCTACAGAACCTGTAGAGATCAGTCTCACTGATGTAACAATGACGGTGGTGATCTATAGCAAAATAAATGTCTACAAGCTTCTGACAACAGAAATTAAACATCTATGCCAGAAAGCAGGACAAATATTACACCACACAATTTTCTACGACAGTCTGTACTGCTTCCAAACTGTCTCAGGAGATCCGTTTTTCTTTCTTTTAATGGCCACATTAACAAAATAAAAATTAAAAAAACAGATTAATGCTCCTCTGGTTGCAACTTCCAGAAATAAAAGCACAGACACATGCACTTTTTCTTTGCCTTCACGTTTCTGTGGTGTGTGGGTTTGAGGGTTTTTTTTGATAGTTCTTCAAAGGCAATAAAAATAGTTTACTGATACCTTAAGACTATCTGAATTACATTCTACTATCAAAGTAATTTTTTACACGGAAGCTGCCTTTAAATATAGCTGTGGCATCCTCTTCTAGGTGTACTTAGTTGCTTCAAGCAGTTTTTGTTCTCTTCTACACAGACTACTAGCTTTGCAAGAAGAGTCAAAACCCCAGAAGAGTGGTTGAGTTCTTCTCATGTGTATATTGGAGGTAAAGATTGTGTCATCCAAATTCCATTAACCATGGTGAAGATGCGTAAGTCACATTTATACTTTGTGCTTCAAGACCTTTATTGGATTTACAGTACTAAAGTAATAATGATTTATAAAGCTATTGACATAGAAACAATAGAACATACAACAATGGATTTGCCAGCTGAGCAAGTATCACCATTTAGTCAATTTTCCAAGGAAAAGGCAACTTAATGTTGTTATATAGCAGCAGGCTACAAATAAACTAGTAAATTTTCGGAGGCTTCTTTTGTGCTTTTAGTAAAAAGATTGCTGAAGTGTGAAAACACAGAAATGTGTGGATTTCATGAAGCATTTACAAGAGAATGTTATGTTGTTGTGAGCTTAAGTCACATAATTAAAATTTCATGTTACTTTCAGCTTCAATATTTAACTTGATACAAAATATAGCATTCTGTTAATACAACATGAATTGTAAGGTTTGGATTTACAGTATCTTTAAGTATAAACAGACAGCCGCTCTATAACTTTGAGTTCGATCTTCTCAGATCCTTTGATGCCTTCTGCAGAAAGAAACCCCTTCATTCAATGCTCTGATAAAATACCTTCCGTTGTTGTCTAACCACCATGCCAAGAGAAGGTGAAAGGAACTGTCAGGGTGGGAGCCAAATCAATGTTAGAGAAGTCAGATTGCTGCAACCCAGCCTGGCTTGCTTCCTTACAGCAGGATGACCTGCAACCGCTACATTGTTTTCACTCACATATGCCCCAAAAAATCATCGCCTCCCCCCTCCCCCCACCAAGTCATCAGCTTATCACTTGCAGAAATTTCAAGACTGACATTTAAAAAAAAAAAAAAAAAAAGGAATAAATCAGAAGGGACAAGGGTTACAAGAGCGAAACAAAAATGAGAAACGTAGTATCTGCCAGAGAAAAAGATGAGTGTAACTTGGGCTAGAGCTGTACAGCAGAGAAGTTCTCAAAATAAGCTGCTTTTTATGAAGATTTGACCACAGAAAGGACTGTCTAGAATACTGGAAGGTGGAAGACTTCATACTAGCACAAGTGTAAGAGCAGGAGCCATTCAGAAATAAAGCAAAGGAAGTAAGATAAAAAGAAATGTTTATTGTACACCCTCTACATGAAATGTGGCCAGTGAGCTTTACAGATGTCACGTGACAAGTTGCTCTTGAAAGGTGAGTACAGAAACGCACACGGCCATATACCATTGTTAAATCTGAAATTGTTTACTCTTCTTCTGATCCCTTCTCTTTGTAGTCTATAGATAGCAAGTTCTAAGAGGGAACCCTGATGTGTGCAAAGAATACCAGTTTTATGATTTATTAATGCCCTAGCAAAAAGGCCATACTGCTTTTTTCTCAGAATGCTACCATTACAGTTATTTTTGTTTCTGTGCAAAACTGCTTGAATTTTGTAATACATACACTTGTGTGTGCATGTGTATTTTTATACACATATCTATAAAAAAATGTGTGTGACTATATCTGAAGATATTCCTGTAAAAAATAATCAAATGTCAGTGCAAATTTGAATTTTAAGTTGTTTCCCAAAAGGGAATTATTTCAAGATACTTGAGCATTTTCTCCACAACAATTTCAGATCCTGTTAAGTATGAAATTGATCTCCAGATAATAAAACATAATGCACCTGCTGAAGTGTGATGCAAGTAAAGTTCTTTCTGGTGGCAAAGGAGGTTAGGTTTTCCTCTTTACCAAAAAAATGTAATGGGCAGATGTATGAAAAATACAAGTTTCTTTAGACAGTTCAACAGAAATTAACTTTTTTTTTTATTTTATTTTTTTTTAATAAGTCACCTGCAGTCTGTTCTTCCTTAGATCAGCTGAGGGAAGAAACACTGTGTGAAGGCAGGTGTAAGCAATTTTACATCTTCATCTTCTTTGGCACTTCAGCATTCAGAGTAACTGCAGCATTAAGTGGCAGCCTGGCACAAGAAAGGCCACTGCGCTGCTGAGACAAGGAAAAACTTCAGAAATTTCAGCCAAATTCCCTGCTTTGCCAGCAGCTATCCAAGCTAGGGGCAGTAGTGGAAGGCAGCCAAGGGCAGTACATTATTCCCCAAGGCCAGTCGGGGCTGTGTAAGAAGCCCAGGAAGCAGGGACTGAGCAGGTACACGCCTCCATACAGACAAAAAAAAGTCAGAATACTGTAAATAATAATCAGCAATGTCAAAAAGCTTTATAACAGCAATTTCACAGAATAAACTCATGCTAAAGTAACTCCAGTACCTGCATCTTTCTGGAGAGTCTTCCCTATCTTTCCGTCGGAACTTGCTGATAGTATCATCGATCGTGCTTCCAATTTTGTCGCTTAGCTCACCTAACTTATCGCTGAATGGAAAAGATGGTTTTTTATCCCATTCTTCATCCCATTTTGACTTGGGCTCAGGATCGTATCTTTCACCTGTGTAAGGCATTAAAATAAGAAATACTAAATGTAACAGGAGAAAACCAAAAGCAGCTCACATTCTGTCTGGAATCATTCTCAAACCCCCTTGTCCTACTGACATAAACCTTCCAAGTTTTCAGAAGCAAACCGAAATCTCCCACGGTGCTCAATCAGCACTACTACAGCCAGGCACAGCACGTAATGCCAGTCATTAAGTGGCAGGAACGCAGCTTCCAAACCATTTGTTTATGACAACACCACAACCCGAATGCACCGCCCAGCACACCAGAATCCTGTTGGACTCTGCTGGAGAAGCAGAAGGGGCACAATCAAGCCTGGCTGCAGCGTGAGCAGCTTATCAGAAATGGGACGTGCCAGTTTTGTAACTGTCACTTAATGCATGATACTCCTTCCATTCACAGCCAAGCTGGTAAATCAATTTACCAAGAGGTAAATCAATTTTGTTTTATACAGTGACATTCATGAATATATAAAAGTGTAGCATCAAAATATCAAAAGACTTAGGAGCAACAGGTGCTAATTTTCTGTTCTTTCTTTTCCGTAGTGACTAAAAAAAAAAATCTTTGCAAGAGATTTTTTAAAAAAACCAAAAAGGCAGTAAAGCAACTCAACTTTTCAGCAGCAACTAAGTACACTGAGCAGCTTTACTAAATACATAAAAAAATTTTCTAATTCGGTATTCAAGATCTCCATACCGGTATCATATCTTACAAACAGCCGATGGGTTTCCTTGAAGGAAGTGCATTGGCTGTGCAGTCTCATTAAGAAAGTTGAAAAAACTTAAGCCTGGGCTTATTTATACACATTCAACCAACTGGAGTTTAATTTAAAGAAAACCCAGCACTTAGATATTAACAAAGACTTATCTGTCAGAAGTACACTTCACTAAGTCTTATTGCAGTCTTCTATCAGACCTTCTGCTGAAAATATAGTATATTAAGCAACCCAACACGGCTCAGTTTCTAGGTCACGCTTTTAGACAAGCATTTTATATTTTGGGCCATCACAACCACGAAACAAGGTGGAGTTTTTTACTACTGAAAAACATGAAGAACTAGTTAAATTTTTTTACTTAAGCTAAGTAAAATTGAAAGGAAGAATGGTAAAAAATTCATTACTTCACATTACATACAAATTATATTGTAGCCCAGGTTCAAGATTGTTCACGATTTATTCAATTAAGCCATTTCAAATAAAAATTAAATGATGGATTCCAGTACTACAAGGTGCAAAATTTGAGTTACATCTGTCTGATAATACCATATGCCAGAGAATGCATTTTCTTACTGAAGAGATAAGTGCAAGTCTCCAATGATATCTGTTTAGATCCATAAAGGAGAGACAAACTTTTTCAAAGTAGAGAATCTGTTATAAACCAGCAAGATGCTCAGTGATATCTTCATCACTGAAAGAGGCGAAACTGCTAAGAAATGTAATACTGTTAAATTTTTCAGGAGAATAAAATGGCCTTATTTCAGTTCACGTCAGGCTCTCAAGCATTTTAATGTAGACTCCATTAGAAGGTTTCTTTGTGCAAGAGGAATTTTAAAATAAATATAAAAAGCCCGAGAGCTCAGTATTTTCAGGACAAAGAGAACTAAGGAAAATTCTGAAGATACAAGCATTTCATATTTAAATAACTAGAATCTTTTAGATTAGAAGTCTGACCTAGGAAAAAGTTTGGGTTTTGATGCTTTATTTTTTACTTTACTCAAAAAAACCCTTGAATAATAACTAAGGAGCATATGGAGAAAGACTTCTACTCAGCATACAGGGCTAGATCACGACTCTCTACAGAGCAAGTCAAAAGATAAGCTCGGTGAAAGAACAGAGGGACATAAAGTACAAATGCAATGACTCATAAGTATTTCCTAAAAAGACAGTCACCAGAATTCCAAAGCAGGTGGCAAAAGCCTCGAAGAACAGAGTAACACACGACATATCCTGCCATGGAGAGATTTCCAACTACTCTGAACATGAGGAAGAGGGAGAACAGAAGAACACAGAGAAGCAACCAATCAAAACCAGAAGAGTGTAAATCAAAGTTCAGAGTTCACAGTGAAGAAGAATGAAACACGTACATAGCACCTGAGAGGGACAGGTGAAGTGTAAGTCCTGCACAGTTCCTATGTAGATCAAAACCCTTCTCTCAAAGGAGTCACTTGCTCAAGCAAAGCAGAGCTTTGTGCCACTTGGACTTTGGGACTCATCTCTTAATAAAAACAGCCAAGGATTTACTTAACCCAAAGAAAAACACAGATTAAACATTCTCAAGACTGACAGTGGATCATGGACAACGTGCTGGGATACATCAGACCTAAAAGCCAGTTCACACTCAGATCCCTGCTACACATTAGGGCAAGGACTGAGAAGCAAGGAGGAAGCTCCAACCTGGGACTCGGTAAGAGCAACACCGCACGGGTTGCGTGTCTTTATCGAACCAAGGTTGCCAGAGAAAACCATGCCCTCTCTAATCAAAGACAGACTGAGCTTTACAGCCCCTAAGGCCCAGATCTTACCAAGACACTACGCTGAGGATGCAAATAGTCTAAGGGAACTCATTGCACACATGAGGAACATGACTTGCCTCAGCAAGATGGGCAATTTCCAGAAGCAAGACTACCTTCAGCTATCTGCCAACAACATTCGGATGTGGGTTTTTTTGTGCATATGTTTTTATATAAAAGGACCTTAGCAAAGAAGGTCCTACTTCAAGTATCAGACTCAGCCTGGATACAGGACTGACACTTTGTGCAATGATGGCTAAGACTTGTGATGGTTGGATTATTTAATTTTGAGAATTTTGATTTTTGAAAAATCCGACAGCAGGTTTTCAGATTTTATGAGGGAGCAGATGATCAAGTGACTCTTCTAACCCAGCTTTTAAAATATATAATGTATTTAATACATACTAATTTTAACACATACTAATTTTTTTTTAATGAGAAGTTTAGAAATTTCTTTCTGGTGTTTACTATGACCTCTTCAGTAGCAGCCCCAATTCCCTAGGACTTAGGGATGAGCACTGGTGCACCAGATTTCCAGCCTGCATACAGGGCTCCTGTTCTGCGCAACTACCATTTGGATGCAAGCTTAGCACCTCTACTCAAAGTAAATTTGGTACTTCCTCTGGGAGCCCTCCTTCAAAAAGCACATGGGAACTGTAGCACTAATCAAATAAGATTTTAAAACCACACAAACCGAGACAGTAACAACTGTACTGGTAACCTCCTGAAATATAAGCTCCCTCACTCACATGGTGCTTGGCACATATATGTGAATTCAGATATGACAGACATCAGAATCCACTGATAATCCACAGCTACCTTTCAAGTCCAAACAGTATTACTTGGGAATCCAAAAAGTCTAACGGCATATAGTATCTACATTGTTTCACCCAAACAGTACTACTGCCCTAAAAGCCCTAACACAAACTAAGCAGTGATTCTGAAGGAGGTTGGCAGGAGTAGGTGAAGTAATTCTTGGGCTGTGGTGGGTGGAAAGCATCATACCTTTTTTTTTTAATTAAAGACTAAGAAACCCTGACTTACAAGGGCATTCATTTATCTGCTGCTATAGCAGCATCCATTTCACAATGAGACTGCCTATGGGTAAAAACAAGACAGATAGGTTTTGACTAAGTCAATGTATCCAAGTCATTTGTATAAGTTTCTAATTAGTTTTCAAAAAAAAGACTAAAAAAGATTTCTGAAGTAATTAATTTAAATTTCTTTTATGATAGTAACACTGACAGTTAAAGAAATACACAGAAAAAGCATCTAAAGGAGCATCTCAGAAATTCCTTCAATAGTCTGTTATCTAGGCCAAGTAAGAAGTTGTGATTGCCAATCCTTGACCAAGAGAGCCTAATACTCACTATATCGGAACCCTCCAACACTGTCCGAAGAAACCCCAATGTATTTGTCTTTGTTCTTCTTTGCTTTCTTCCTCTCTTCCCGAAGTCGATCATCATCTTGAGCAAACTCAACCATTTCTTTTACCTTCTGGCGTATGTTTATACCTTGGTCTTTACCATTTTCATCTGTGCAGGTAATGCAGGAGAGAGAAGATGGATGGGGGGGCAGGGAAAGGAAAAATAAATCAGAGGCAGCAACACTGAACATCAAGCTGTTAAGGAAATTTGAATTATGAACACAGTCAGAAAAAGACCTTATGGCTAATGTCCACTTATTTGTTTAAAAGGGACCAAATATTTTGTTCCAATACACATTTTCATCCTTAGATAAATGACAGTTTTCACTAAATGGTGTATTTAGAAACAGCTAACTGCTGCTGAAACATTGAAAAGATTAATGAAGACCAAGACAGAAATCATATTCTCCACTTGAACAATTTTAACCCTTCAAAATATAACCCCTTTTCCTCATTCTTTTTAGTATGCTTTTTACAAGTTTAATTGCAAGAATTCACTCTCATCGCAAAACTGTATTTTTTAAAAATTGCTTTCAGATGGGATGTACTACAAGCTAAACATGTTCCTTTCCGAGCCTTTTTCACATTCAAAACACACACTGGCTTTGCTGCCTTTGCACTGTAAATATTATTTGGTGGGAGGAAAAAACCCCAGCTTCAAACAGATGTGTGTGTTTTGGAGCTCTAACCTTTTCTTCCCATATGATTAAAGCTATTCCTTTACGGACACCACAGGGGACCAGTCTCTAGTGCATATTTTAATATAAACCCGAACACTCATGTTGTGTTGGTTCTGTTGTTATTAGCCAGTCTTTTCTGCAAGTTCTTGTCTTCACTAATTAATACTCTAGGGTCCCACGTCTTGGATTCTGCACTCTTCACACAACTGGCAACAGTCACATTCTAATTAGACTGGGGAAGCTTCTAAGCTGGTTCAGGTGACTGACAACTCCAACTACTGTTTTAATTTGCTTATAAGATTTTTCTATTGCTCACCTACAAAGTGGTAATTTTCCAGGGATCGCAAATCATAAATGTGTTCTCTGGCACTTGTAACAACACGCTCTGATCCATTCCTTATGAGGTAAGCTAGGAGCAGCAAAGACTATAAAAATACAAAGCACCTTATGATTGCATGAACAAAAGCTCTATCTTTTCTTTTTATATATATTAAAAAAGAAACAGAAAACCAAACCTACCCCCCTCCCCAAATTAGTAAGTAGTAAGACTTCCTCCTTTTAAATAAATGCTTATTGTATGTCCACACAGAAAAGCCACCATGTTTTACACACATCTTTTGCTCTTTAGAATATCAAAATTGTATTTGTCAAACTCTAATTTGCTATTACTAAATCACAGAAAGTTACCTTCATCAGCTACTGCTTATTTTAGAAAGACAGCAGAAGCAATTAAGGAGAAAATGTTAACACTGCTAAATGATGCTAAGTAATGCTTTTGCCTCCTTTGCTTCCACTGTAAAGAAACTCCTACAAGAATTTAAGAAGCCTTTTTCAGGATGCAAAGGATATACAAAACCTGCATTTTAGGACAATTTTAAGCAAACAACAAAACAAATGAAGTTTAAATAGAATTTTAATTGCAGTGTTTTATCTTGAGGATTTCTATCTAGAAAAAAAGTTAATGCACTGTCTCCAAAGCAGCACCTTTATCGGCTGAAACTATCATTACGTTTCAATCTATCAAAACCTGATAAACAATTCCAAACAGTCTTTATAACATTAAGTAGCTATGTAGGATAGCATTAAATATTAATTTATATTGTACTTCAGGGAAAACAATTACTATGAATACAAAACATCAAGCACCTGTGAAAAGCACAAACCATGCCTTAGAATTAATTCTGTCTTGTTACAATCCTAGCATCAAGAAAAACAAAATATAAGCTAGCCTAATACATCAGTTCTGAAAAACGAGGTTATATTTGCATAATTCAGAGAACATTGAACACCACTTTAAGTGCAGCATGATATAATCTAAAGCAAAAAGTTTCTGTACCACGCTAATTAGCCAAAGACAAGAAAAATGCAAATGATTCGGTTCCTTTTCCAAACCACAAGTAGGACATAAAAGTCTCATATGATAAGATCTGCAAGAAAATTTGGTCCATGCAAAGCTAAACTACAATTTTTAGAGAATTAAGAATTGGCAGAAAATTAAAATTAGTTTCCATTCTATTTCAGGTATTCTTGAAATCCTTCAGAAACATGTTCCTGATAGCACAATAACTCATCATCTACTTCTCATGAAGCACCAGAACAACTCCTTTGGGTAGATGCAAAATGTGAATCCTACTGCAATACCTGAGTAGCAGCAAAATGTAATTGCTCTATTATGTTTGTTAAGCAGCATCTTAGTTCTAAACCCAGAAATTTTGTGGGTTTTTTCCCCATATACAGCATTTGACAAACAGTTTTGACTCAGTAACAGAATTATAAAGCATAGTTAGGAGAGCAATTATAGGTTGTTAAGGGAGCGATACAGCAGTATCTAAACAAGCCACCGTATCGAAACCTTACAGTAGCAACAAGCGTTACGTCCTCCACAGACCAACACGAAGTCTTGAATCCTTCCAGCTCACATACATACACACCTTATAAACCCTCCTCCAGTTCTTTTTATTGTCTTTCAGCATTCGAGTCCAAAGCATGTTCATAAGTTCTGGAAACTGTTCATACATAAACGTAGCCCTAAAGAATTACACAAAAGGAATAAAGACATTTTATTCTTTATGTTTTTGTGACAATTGTTTAAGACTCACGGCTGACAGTAGATGGCAGGCTTGATCTAATTCTCATCTGATGACTTTACAAGGGAAAAAAGCTATCCCTACTTCTTACTCATACAGAAGTAATTTACATACCAGTACTATAAAAGAGAAAAAGTAATTTTTAAAATCTGAGGCAGTAAAAGAACCTTCACTAACTCACAGCTACTAAAAGTAAAACACGCAACTTCCAAACTCATTTTAACAGAAAAAGTTCACGGAAGAATTCTACATGTTTTGCTCCAGTTTGACAAGCCACAAGAAAACACTTTGAAAACTGCCACTCAAAAAAAAGTCATTTTTTGTTCAACAATTTTCTATATACTCTAAGACTATGCATAAAAACATAAGACTTTACAGGAAATTTTCAGCATTATCAGTCAGCATACCATAGAGTTGATTTAGCAACAAATTTCACATTCCTGTATAAAATGCACCTTTCTTCATCACTGAGCCAAATTATCACTTACTTGGCAATCTCTCCCATGAGTTGCCCTGAAGGTCCCCACGGATCATCATTGGTTGCTTCTCGAACTTTAGATTCTATTTCTGAATAATTCATAACCACATTGGTGCTGCAAAGGAAAAAAAATTAACACACATGAAGATTAGCATCAAAACTGAGAAACGCATGAAAACTTAATAATGACACTAGTGCGTATCTCACTTAATGAGATACCTCTACAGGGTGGGAAAGAAAACATCTTTAGTGCAGAAGCTACCCTGAGGACACCATACAACACATTTAAGTTATCTTTAAGAAGGTTTTACTATTCTATTAGCCTTGAAGAATACAGATGAGAAAGTAGGGATTACATTACAGCTGGATTCAGTCCAGTAAAAATGGCTTTTGGTCAAATTAAAATCCAAACTGAACCACTAGAGTCAAAGCTGATACCTTCCTCAACTAGACATGGTTTCCTTACAAGTTTGTATGGAGTGCAGTTATTTCAAAGAGGCTTTATATCTCAATCAGAAGCAGATTTATTTATTTTTTTTCTTACTGATGAGTACTACAAAAGAAACTCAAAAATATGAGTACAAAACAGATGCTAGTAAAAAAGTAAAATAAAAAATAAAATCATACAGGAGACTGAAGTAAGGGAGATGAGATTCACTAGAAAATTCGTTTCCTATCTTGAATTTATTTAATTAAGGGAAAACAGCAAAAGAAGAAAAGCTGCAGAGCACTCTGTATTATGATTAAAGTAATGCAAATACTATAAGGAGCTCAGGCTGTCTCGAGTTCACAGAAAAATACAACTTGGAAAAAGGAGGCAATTTTTCCATATTGGTTATATTAAAACAGTCAATATGTAATATATTTTCTTAATGAATCTTTCAAGCAGGTGATCAACAACTGTAAGCCGAGCAACCTCTTTTGTGCCCCTAAAAGCATCCAGATACATCTGATAACACAGTTACTCTCTTTATATTTTAAGGTGAGCGAGAAAGCCCAAAACCTCATTCATACAGAGAATGTTTGAAAGACAGAGCTCTAGCTCTGGAGCAATACAGCACAAACTCCTAACGAAATCATCAGTCAAAGGTTTGAAACCTAGTGGCCTCTGCTGTCCCTACATACTTTGCAGTGTATTCACAATAACTTAGACGTTACATGTTTTCACCTATAGTGTCAAAACTTCGGAAGTTTAATTAATTGTTAGAAGTACATCATACAACTGGCTTCAGAAGCTAAGAAAGCCCTGTTAAGGTGACTGTGTTCGACACAAACCTTCTCATAAAGTCAAATTGATGGAACTGTGGGGAAAGATCTGATGATCTAATACAACGTGGAAAGGGCGTTTGCTGTTAAAACCCAACAAACAACAAACACACCAAAAGCGCCAAACAAGGTGCTGCACAGTCATCTCTCCTTCCACATACGAGTTGGCACAAAGCAGCATTTGCGATACTCGTTCAATTTTACTTGGCGTAAGGATAGCAAAGATCTTGGAACTGGGAGTTACAAACAGCAGAAACAAAAATGAGATCCCCTTAAGTCTGAAAGGGGACACAGAAGGTAATTGTTAAACCAGAATAAAATTCTTGGACTTAATCTTGGATTCTCAGCATGAGAATTCCAGCTGTCAGATTCTGATGTATGATTTTATTCAACTTCGTGTCTAAAGAGAGCATAAGCTACATGACTGAATAAATAATCAGCCAGCTAACAGAACCTATCTATAAAAAAAAAAAGCATGTAAGAATACCACAGTAGCAATGAACAATAGCAATTAAAGTTTTAGAAATTAATTTATGCTAAATGCACCTCAAGCTTCCGGGTTTGCCATTTTCTTTACTGTATATACAAAAGTAAACTAATACCATCTTTATTTCCCATATGCATACAAGGTTAAAAAAAAAAAGTAAAAAAAAACGAAAAAAAAATCAAAAACTCCAACCCCAAAGCTACAGCCTTGAGCCCTTTGCAGCTTTCAGCACACTGGTTCCCTTGTCCAACAAGCAGGGAGTTGAATGGAAAGGTTCTGTTTGTTTTTATAACCCCTCCTCAAGCGCTTGATGGAGAGACTTGATGGAGAGTTGGTGGGGAAGCATAAAACGAAGCATTTCCTTCATTTCTTAAGAGCAAAGAATTTAAGAATGGAAAATGCATGAAAAGATGCAAACTTACAGAGGACATAAAAAGGCAGCATTAGCTATGGCTAATAAGCTCATGGCTAAAGCAGCATCAGGGTTGAAAGGGAAGAAAATAAGGGAAATGAAGGTCAAATGAAAGAAGGTGCAGTTAAACCCCTCTAAGCACATGAACACACTCCAAAACCCTTCCTGCAGTAAAGTTATTGTTCTCAGCAACTAGGAGAAACCTTTTATAAATGTCAAGATGAGATCTAATGGCACAAAACGATCCAAAACAAAGTATCTTTAAGCCGTATTTAATTCAGCAACAAATGTAAACTTCAAGGAAAAAAAAACAACGAACTGTTGTACAGCTTGGCATCATTCCAGGTCACTTAAAAATAACCATTTCTAAAAAGGTGGAAATACAGTTTTATTCTTCCTTTCCCATGTTTTCTATGGCCCTCATTCCATGCCCTACCCATGATTCCTGTGACCTTCGCAACAAAAAAATAATTTACGTCCAGATGTGAAGGGAAAAAGTGACGAGCTTGATTGCCAAGACTTCCTGTGATTGATATAAATTTAATATCTGAGGACACTCGCAGACACCAGGGGGGGCTCTCTGATTAGTTTATACTGGGCAGATTCCAGAGAATCGTGCTGGATCGCATGGACACGGTCTGCTCTGCAAGCGAAGGGACATGCAGCAGTCACGGCTGACAGACAGTGCCGCTGCTGTCAGTGTTTAGAACACCCCATTACCTGCGAGACTACATCTGGATTTACCCCAGTTGTTAACAGACACACCGCACAACTGGAATCTTGTGAGGAGCAAGTTTACAGTAACTTCTGACATGGACAAAGACTTTAAACACGAGTGTATTTTGAAAGTTACATCTGAAATAAAGGCACTGCAAAAAATAATGGGTTGACATTAACATTACAACCTGTTGCATTCCTTTTGGTTCATGTCTTACATTTAAGTCTGTTAAATCAGACTAGTGTCAACAGATGATTTTTAGTCTTTATTGTACCCCTTCAAAATATTTCAGTATTGTTTCTTTCAAAAAAACCCCCCAAACTGTTCAGAAAAACCAAGAGAGGGCACTGACACATCTCTATGCAACAGCAAGCATGGTGACAGCAAGGAAAATGTTAGCTTTTCTCTTCTTGCAAGAGAATGCTCAGCTTTAAATGTTTATATCTACAATTTATAGCAACACTGAATATGTAGCTCAAGTCAGAGATTAAATTCCTACACATGAATAAACAGATATTGTCAGCAAAGAGCCAGTGGATATGTTATAAATATCTGATCACCTCCAACCCTATCAGACAATAAGACACACTTCCTCTCAATAAAAGTTGTACATGCATTTTATTAACTATATTTTAATGTATTTTGAAACTGAATAGGTGTAATGTAGATTAAATACCCTCAAAATACTACTTTATCCTCAAATTTTGTTGGCATTTTTCACAGAAATATCTTCGAAAGAATTCAACCAATTGTAAATAGCTTCAGATTTTGTTCTGTTACATTGAGATCTATAAATTTGAGAAGAAACAGTCATTTGAGGTAAAAATAAAGTTCATTTGGTGTTAGGGAGAGCAAACATACATGACAAATGGTACAAGGAGTTCTCTACCCACCCTTATAAAACTAAGGGGATCAGAGAAACCACCAAGGTCCAGTCAAAAGGTTTACCAAGTACCTGCCACTTCAGCCTTTACAGCTGCCACTGTCTGAGAAGCACTTCATTCAGCTTTCAGACATAAGAGTACAAAAATTCTACCGGTCTGAGTTCATCCTCTAAGCATCATTCTTTGAAAACACAGAAATGCTTATGGATGGTCTGCTTAAAAACAAAACCTTACCGACTGATAGAACGCTTCACCAGACGACACACAAAACACTCGTACTCTAACAGGAGTCCTGGTTTTCCTGCCCCTTATCAGGGTATACTCGGTGTAACTCACAATGTGGGCAAATACACATGAACACAAGAGTGATAAATATATCTGCAGAAAAGTTCTGTTCGTGTTTGACTCCAACATATTCCAGTATGAGGCTCCTGACCTTACCCAGTAGCATGTGAATCAAGCAACTAATGCTCAGAGGATGAGGTGTCCTATGCTCTCACTGAAGAGGTGCTATTATTTTACTGCTTTTTCTATGAAATAGCCACAAAATAAATACTGAAAAAGGAAACTTTCCTCCTCCAGTCTAAAAAAAATTACAAAATCTAAAAATCCCTTTTATACTAGGAAATAATTGTTTAATAGAATGTTTGGTGGAAAGACAAATAAATAACAGCAGCATCATGAATCTAATATTTGTTTCAGAGTGAGGATTTTTCATTGTTCAGGACCACAAGGTGTTCTCTACAGATTCATACGCTGTAACTGAAGTCAGCTCAATTATCTGTTAGATTATCATCACTTCTAAAAAATTATCAACCATAACTGTACTGCTTCTAGTAATAGCTTCCAACTGGTAACATTACAACCAGCTTTGTGGTGCCTGAATTGTCTCATATCAATCACTGCTGGTTCCACATCAAAAAAAATAAAAAAAAGAAAAAAACATGCATAAAACCCCATCAAAAACCTCATGAACTTTAAATCTGTATCACCCCTTGAACCAGGAACACTTTAGAAACACGGGTGTGGAAATCCAAGGCTCTGCACCTAGTCAGCAACAGAAATTCTCAGCCAATCCCTGCTCTAAGATTAACCACCAGACTCTGAGGTCAACCCTCAAACAGCATTTCACAACAGTGATTTACACACGCTACCAGCAAACCCACTAATGAAAAATGTGCAGCAATTTTTGTCTTACTTCGCTTGGTTAGAACCTGGGATACAGCACATAGCACTGGTAAGTTGAATGTTCACCATCTTCACAGAAGAAGGCCCCACAGTGTTTCCCCTTCCTGCTCCCCTCTATCTCCTGTATCTTCCAGACTTAGTCCTCGGTGAGTAG